GCATGGATTTGTACACAGGGCTACTAGTATATAATAATTGTAAATATTTATGCATCAAATATTAGAGTACCTAAATATATAAAGAAGATACTAACAGAAATAAAAGGATAAACAGCAATGTACTAAGAGTTGGGAATTGTAATACCCCTTTCTTCAATGGCTAGATTATCCAGACAGAATCAATAAGTGAATTTGAAGAACAGTTAATTTGAACAACACTATAGACCAAATGAACTTAACAGACATGTATAGAATATCCCATCCAACAGCAGTAGAATACACATTATTAATTCCACACAGAACATTTTCAGGGATAGATCATATATAGGGTCATAATATGTGTCAACAAATTCAGGAAGATAGAAATTATATCAAGTATATTCTATAACCATAGTGGTATAAAACCACAAATCAACAATAGGAGGAAAGATGAAAAACTCACAAATACTTGGAAATTAAAATACATTCTTGAATAACCAACAGATCTAAAAAAGAAATCAAACCAATGGATCAAAAAAGAAATCAAAAGGGAAATTAAAAAATATCTTGAAGCAAAAGTGAAACACAACATATCAGAATTCATGATATGCAACAAAAGCACTCCTAAGCAGGGAGTTCATAGGTATAAATGCCTATATTAAAAAAGAGAAAGATAAATAACCTAGCTTTATACCCCAAGGAAGTAGAAAAAGAAAAACAACCTTAGGCCAATGTTAGCAGAATGAAATTATAAATATTAGAACAGAAATAGGTAAAATAGAGAATAGAAAAATAACAGAAAAGATTAACAAAACTAAGAGTTGGTTTTTGAAATGCTAAACAAAATTGACAAACCTTCAGCTAGACTTACCAAGAAAAGAGAGAGAGAGAACTCAAGGTTAGAAATGAAAGAGGAAACATAATAAATGATACTCCAGAAAGACAAAGGATCATAATAAATTGGAAAACCTAGAAAAAATGGATAAATTCCTGGAATTATACTACCAACCAAGATGAACAATGAAGAAATAGAAAACTGCATAGAACAATAACATATATGGAGATTGAATCAGTAATGAAAAACCTCCCAACAAAGGAAAACCGAGATTTCACTGATAAATTCTATCAAACATTTAAAGAAGTATTAGTGCTAATCTTTCTCAAATTCTTTCAAAATTGCAAAGAGAAAGAAATACATCCAAGCTCATTTTATGAGGCCAGCACTATCCTAATAATAAAACTAGACAGAGACCACAAGAAAAAATAAATTGTGGCATGTATCCCTGGTAATAGATGCAAAAATTCCAACAAAATATTAGCAAACCTAATTCAACAATACAGTTGACCCTTGAAACACACTGGTTTGAACTGCGTTGGTCCACTTAAAAATGGATTTCTTCCCAGAAAATATACAGTTGGTCCTCTGTATCCCTGGTTTTGTATCTGTGGATTCCCAACTGTGGATCCAAAACACTGTTTTTGATCCATGGTTGGTTGAATCCATAGATGTAGAGGGCCAACTATGCATTGTTCTATGTCATTTTATATAAGGTACTTGAATAGCCACAAGTGTGTGTGTGTGTGTGTAGGGGTCCTGAAACTAATCCCCTGTGGATACTGAGGGATTATAGTTAAATTTAGAGGGAATGAAAAGTTATATGTGAATTTTGAATTGCATGGGGGGCCGGGACCCCTGACTCCCACATTGTTCAAGGGTCAACTTTACATTAAAAGGATCATACACCATGATAAAGTGGGATTTATTTCAGGGGTGCAAGCATGACTCAACATCTGCAAATAAACCAATGTGATATGCCATATGCATAGAATTAAAGAGAAAAACCATATAATCAACAGATGCAGAAAAAGCATTTGACAAAATTTAATGACCTTTCATGATAAAAACTCTTAACAAATTGGGTCTAGAAGAAATATAATAAAGGTCCTATATGACAAACCCACAGTTAACATCATACTCAAAAGTAAAAAGTTGAAAGCTTTTCCTCATAAGATTAGGAACAGGACAAGGGTGCCCACTCTCACCACTCCTATTCAATATAATACAAGAAGTCCTAGCTAGAGCAAGTAGGCATGAAAAATAAGCAAAAGGAATCAAAATCAGAAAGGAAGCAGTAAAACTATCTATGTTTAAAGATGATATGATTTTAATATGTAGGAAACCTTAAAAACTTCACCATAAAATCTG